TACCTGTTTAAAATAACTATATTTCATGAAATGAAAATCATAATTTACAACCAATAGACAAATAAGTACATTCAAACATTAGGTTTAATGAGGAATTGATATTATCAGAGATATAACTTTATAAGACTTTCTTGGACGTCACAAGGACATTTGACTAGTCTCAGCTATTTTACATGTATCCTTATATGTTTTGGTATCAACAATACTCTGTATTATACAAAAGTTGTCAAGACTCGTGAGAGGTTTGCATTTCATCATCAACAGACTTATTGGAGTTACAGGCAAACTTTCTATAAGTTGTATGCAATAATATTGTCATTTCATAAAACAAGAATTTTTGACAGATATGTCAAACTGAATCGCAAGTACCATTATTTTGGAATACTTAATATTACTAACAACCTACTTATGCATAATTTTGGAAAACCTAATATTACTACCACCCTACTTATGCATAATTTTGGAATACCTAATATTACTACCAACCTACTTATGCATAATTTTGGAAAACTTAATATTACTACCAACCTACTTATGCATAATTTTGGAATACCTAATATCACTACCAACCTATTTATGCATAATTTTGGAATACCTAATATTATTTCCAACCTACACTTGTGTAGGTGTATTACAGATATAAAGAATATATTTATTTTTAGTCAGTCACATCTGCAAAAATATTTACAACACCTGAAATCATTAAATCATTTCTTTCATTTCCATTTAATCTAGATGATGATGATCTATGAGCATATGTAGTACAAAGAAAATAAAATGATCCTAATAGCTAATTTCAAAATAAATTTCATACAATATGAAGTAAAATGGTTAATTCAGAAAACCTTTGTTGATGAAAATATTAGATGTTTAAACCTGCTAATTTTGAGAAACATAAATAACATGAAATTATTGTAACAGGATGCTGTTACGAAGTCTCCCATAATTGGTCATTCCCATGGTCGCCTGACATTGGGCAAAGTCCAGTACAAATTGGTTTGGTCAAGTAAAGGGATATGCATCAGTAACGCCAAGGGACTGACCCTGTATGTCATTCAAATCTTCGTGAAATGACGGTCAGGAATATATATATATGGTTAAGGGGTGGGGATCTCGACCATTTACACGATATTTAAACATTGGGGGTGGTGAGAACCCCTGGGGACCTCTCCTATATATCATTCAAATCTTCATGACATGACAAGCAGGAATATATATGGTTTAGGGGTGGGAATCTCGACAATTAACAAGATATTTGAACATATTCAAATGACAAGGGGTGGGGATGACCCTTTGGGTCTTACCATGTATATCATTTAAATCATCTTGGCATGACAAACCAGCATATATATGGTTTAGGGGTGGGGATCTTGAACACTTACAAATATTAGAACTTTCTCAAACGGCAGGGGTGGGATGACCTTTGGGGACTAACTGTGTTTATCATTCAAATGATCTTGGCATGACTAACCAGAATAATCAGAATATATATGGTTTAGGGGTGGGAATCTTGACCACTTACAAAATATTAAAACTTTCTCAAATGGCAGGGGGTCGGGGGTTACCCCTTGGGACTAACCTTTTATTTCATTCAATGTGCTTTATCATTTAGAACATTTTCAATTATAAAGATTGTGTCTATCACTAACTGTTTTCAATTTATAATCATTTGAAAATTAAAAAAAAATAAAATCCGATAGGATTCTATAGTAAACCCCTCCTTTCCTTTTGCCCCTCGAAGTACCCTTTTATAAACCCAATTGCACAAATAAAAACCTGATTGCACCACTAGACATGTTAGTCTAACATATTGTGAAACCCTAAGTTAATCTGACTAGAGGTTTTGGAGAACGGATGCGGACAAGTTCAAATTTAAAAGCGGCGGAAGAAGAAGAAGAACTAGATTTGTAATTGCTAGCAATAACGGATGGCACACTTCCCCCATTTCAAGGCGACCGACAGCCATTTCGAAAATTTTAAAGTCAAAAAGCGCATCTACACATGCAAATTATCATTTTTGTAAAGTTTCATTAAGTTTTGAGGATTTTGAAATTTTTGAAATTTTTGCTGTTTCCATGGTAACGGCGGCCATTTTGGAAATTCCAAAGTGGAACATCTTATCTACATATGCCAGTTATCATTTCTGTAAATTTTCAGAAAGTTTGGAGCATTTCAAATTTTTTGAAAGTTTTAATGTTTCCATGGTAACGATTGATATCTCCAAAATTCCATAAGCAGACGCCACATTGGCACATGCCATGTTAATATCAATACAGTTTCATTGATCTCTATGTAATAATCTTTAAGAAAATGCAGCTTTTATGTATTTTTCCAAATATTGCTAAATGTTAAACTTTTGCCCTGTTTCCATGACAATGGCGGCCATTTTGGAACTTCTTGATAATGCATGCACATCTAGGCATATCAGATAACACTTCCATAAAGTTTCATTCACTTGGGTCTTATAATGAAGGATTTAGAATTTTGAAAATTTTTCACATTTTTGCAGTTTCTATGGAAACGGTCGCCATCTTGAGCCATTCCATGCTTCGTGCACAACTTCACATGGGGGTCCTCAATATAGTAGAGTTCAATCAACATTGGTCCATTGGATTTCGAGAAATCGCGCGGACAAAATGTGTGGAAGAAAAATAATAAGAAAAAAAAACGTAGAATAACAATACGTCACCACAACTCCGTTGAGGGTGCCATAACAAAGAAACAGAAGAATAGCAATATGTCACCCGACATTGTCGATCAGGTGACATAATAAAAATAATAAGAACTAAGCAAAAACAATAAGTTTTCCCAAACTTTTTTTGGGAGACTTAAATATAAAAGTTGAAAAATAAACTTTAAAAAAATTTAAATATTTTAAAAGATACAAGATTTAGATCAATAATGGTTCGAGTATTCTATGAAATTTAAGTCTTTGATGAAAAATAAATTCAACTTAAATAATGAATACCCTTATTTTGACCTATCATTGCTTAAGGCAGTATGGTTGTTATTACAAAATGTAACAGAAATTATCTCATACTTTGAGCTATTTCAAAAATTAAATACAAATTATAGGTAACCAAGCTTGTTAAAGGATTATACAGTAAATGAACATTATTATATGAATAGAAAGAAAACAAAATGACATAATTTAAAATTATAAAATGCTTTTAGAAACTTAAAAGGCATACTTTTAAGATTGCTAAATACCAAAAAAAAATAATATAATATTACACATATTTGTTACAAAATTAATCTTATTAAATAACTCCCATTTTATGGTCAAGTACAAAAATTTCGAGCCAATAACAGGAAACTATCAAGGTTAAAATCACATATTGTTTTATTTTATGGTAATATTCTTTACAAAGCACAAAAATGTCGGCATTCACCTCAAAAGCTAACCAAACCTTTAAACAGACTTGTTCGGAAAGGATATAGTTACGATACTGTTGTCAGGTCATTAAGGATTGCATATTTTGGTATTAATATTGATTCTCTCATAGGGTCTTTGCATCGGAAATAAACACATTTATTCTAAAACCAGTTGTCGGCATGATACGGGTTATGTTGTTCTCATATATTTTATGATAGTATGACACTAAACCCCTAACTGGAGGGATTGTACTTGATTTTCATATGATGAAGACATAATCTTTCAATCAGTTTAATTGAGGTCTGGAGCTGGCATGTCAGTAACTGCTAGTAGTCCTTTATTAATTTGTGTATCATTGTCATTTTGCTTAGTTTCTTTTGTTACCTATTCTGACATCGGAATCAGACTTCTTTTAAACTGAGTTTTACTGTGCGTATTGCTATGTGTTTCTTTATTCTACATTGGCTAGAGGTATAGGGGGAGGGTTGAGATCTCACAAACATGTTTAACCCTGTCGCATTTTTGTGTCTGTCCCAAGTCAGGAGCCTCTGGCCTTTGTTAGTCTTTGTATGTTTTTTAATTTTAGTTCATTTGTATGATTTGGAGTTTAGTGTGACGTCCATTTTCACTGAACTAGTACACCATTTTATTTAGGGGCCAGCTGCGGACCACTTCCGGGTGCGGGATTTTCTCGCTGCGTTGAAGACCCATTGGTGGCCTTCGGCTGTTGCCTCCCTTTTGGTCGGGTTGTTGTCTCTTTGACATATTCCCCATTTCCATTCTCATGTTGTCTCTTTGACATATTCCCCATTTTCATTCTCAATTTTATTCATTTTTGTTAAAAGTTTTACAAAAGAATTGCATTCCAGCCTCAAAGTTTCCTTATATCATAAAAAATGTAGACCAATTGTTTTCTGATCCAAACTGGTGGGAGACCCCAATATTATCCTAAATTAAATTAAAGAGCCTTTGTGTGCATGCTTACATACCCCACACCCTTACATTGTCACTGGGGAAACAAAATCTCACCAGATTTCAACGACTCATAACTCCTACAAAAGTCAACTGCTTAAAATTTCTTGTGGATATGCACATCTACATATTATGTCCTAATTATCTACAAAGTTTCATAAAACTCTGAACTTTGGTTACAGAGAAGTTGCGATGACAAACTGTTGCAGCAGTAACTTTTGGCCAAAATTCTAAATTCAAAGTGGCTTAAGTCCTAGAAAAAAAATTGAATCATAATTTTCTGTCGATATGCACATCAACATAGTATGTCCTTCTTATCTACAAAGTTTCATGATGAAATTCTGTTGTGTGGTTTCGAAGCAATTGCGATGACAAACTGTTGCAGTAGTATATTTTGGCCAAAATTCTAAGTTCAAAGGGTCATAACTCCTAGAAAAATGTTGAATCATAATTTCCTGTCGATATGCACATCACCGTAGTATGTCTTAATTATCTACAAAAGTTCATGAACGGAATGACTAACAGACTGATGGGTCTAACACATTATTTGTTCCGTGGTGTAAAAGGTTTGTCCTCAACAATATTTGTCACATATACAGATTACCATGACCTTTGTTAGAATGTGTACGCATTTGAATTTATTTTGTTACACCTTAAGTTTGGCCCCATGGTGAGGCCATTTTTATTTTACTTCTTTTTCATATAAAAAATAAAGATAATAAAAAAAACTTCTTGAAAGATAAGTTGAAGTCCAGTAAGAAAGTAATTCCATAACATTCTTGAAATAGAAATGTTCTTTTACAGGTTTCTTGAGAAAAAAAAAAACTGGAACAATTCAACATCTCTGAGGTTTCAATTTAGATGCGAACATTAAAATATCATATATTCTGACTAAAATGATAACAGCAATCTGTCTTTATCAGTTGACTGTCAAACTAAATTACTGTTTATGATCTTCACCAGTCCTTTCTGAAACAAAAATTTTATTGTTACTTTTCACATTATTTCAGTATGAAATGTATTCTAGATAAAAAAAAAAAAAAAAATGGCAAAAACATTGCATTTTCTTACAATAAAACTGACAATAATCAATTTTGATTTTAAAATGATTGATTTTTAAGGGTACTTATATCACTCTTGGATACATCATGGCAGCCAGTTTTTATTGATGTAGGAAGATGAAGTACCTGTGCATAACCAGCAACCTTTGGCAAGAAAACTTCCAATCCTAGTCAATTCAGATAAGTGTCCAACACACCTACCCCGAGCAGGGCTCAAACTTCTTACCTCAGTGGGACAAAACATTTTAAATTCAAATGGAGCCCAACATCCATGCATTCCGTCATCTTTATATACTTCATGTCAAACTTTATTTTAAAAAAAATGTTGAATGAAAATACCTCAATCATGAGGTATTAATATATATTTTGGTAAAATACTGGAACTGACTGGATAAATTTATTTATCCTGCAATCGACCTTTCTACTATACTAATACAGGTGTACAGATAACACGAAGCGATATACGTATACTAGACGTATATATAGTCTCCTGGTATCCTGCTTCTGTTGCGAGCGAACGGTTATGTCAAATTACTGTTTACGTCACAGTTCAATTTTGGGTCCTCATTGCGGTCCGCATTGAAGTCATGTCGATTTCTTTCAAAAACAAATTCATCGATTGGGATGGGAAAAATGTACAAATTTAATTGAAGGATAAAGACAATAACTGTTTAGTGTCTTTAAATATCAGTTGTATTTGTACTCCGCTCGAAACAGGAGTAATAGCTCGCTGAAGCTCGCATTACACCGGTTTCTTAGCCTCGTACAAATACAGCTGATATTTAAAGACACTAAACAGTTATTGTCTATATAATTGTTTGTATTAACCTTACACTAATGTAGTGTTCGGCAGCTTTGTATATATTCTTTAATGAGTTTTAAATATAGGACTGCCATCATCAGGGATTGTCCTGTGTTTCTAATTTCTTATTTTATTTGAAGTAAGCAAATCTGCTAAATGTTTGTGCCTTTTATAAGCTATAGTCGGTTTCTATGTCTAAAATCTTATCGCAAATCACATGTTTCTGTAAGATATGCTTGTTTGATTATGTATTTTCTCAGTTTTCCTATGCATTGGTTATATTTGATTGACAAAACTAAAAAAATTTCCTTTTTATGTCTTTCAGAATTTTTTTTCAGTAGAGCTTTTCTGTCTCTTATTATTCCCTTATTTATATGAGCAAATGGACATTTCTCTCTCTTGCTATTGTCTAATTTATACGAGAAAATGAACAATTCTCTCTCTTATCATCGCCTTTTTTATATGAGCAAATGGACAAACAAATGAGAACGTGAAGAAATGGATAGCACCACTTTACCGACAATGAGGAACAACCTGTATATATATAATTCCATGAATCCTACAAAATATAGCTTACTACCATGATACTCTACCTTCTGTCCACTGGTGACCTTGACCTTCTTCTGTAAGGTGAATTTGACCTACAATAAAAAAGTGATCAATTTAATATTGGTTTTTATATTTTACAAAATGTCTTATTTATATCTAAGGAGAAAGGACAGGAAGAAAAAGAAAGTTAGATTTACTATGTCCATTGTCGCTGTTCCGTGAGTATGCTTATATAGGCAACAGATTGTCAAAGTCCGTTAACCGCAGAAACCATTGTCAAATCAAAATGATGATTTAGTATAGTTGACTACACAAAATGACAAAAATGATAGGTACAAATACTTTCGTGTAAACAGTCACACATTGATGTGTTCACGTGGTTTCATTCAGGTGTCATTGCCTTACATTAGAAAAATATGTCAAATCAAAATGGCGATATAGTATTTTCAGGAAAATATGATGCAAATAATCTTACCATCTGTGAAAGTTTTCTACAAGACAGATAGCTACTATTAATACTAATGTGATATTACTATGAACCTACTTTTTACAAGAGCTACATTCTGAGTCATATTTTTAATTTGCTAGTTTGTAAGGTAACATTCCTATAAACAAATAAAATTTATAAAATCCTAAAGGAAGCTCACATCAATAGATATAATCAATTCACCAAGTTTCATAAGAATTGTTGAAACTATTTTTGAGTTATTGTCTGAAAACTGGAAAATCCCCCCTTTCTTAATGAATAAAACCTCACAACTCGGAAATGTAATATCTAAAATTTATAAAATTCTAAAGGGAGCTAACATCAATAGATATCAACAATTCATCAAAGTTTCATGAGAACTGCTGATAGCATTTTTGAGTTATTGTCCGAAAACTGGAAAATCCCCCTTTTTTTATGAACAAAACCCCGTAACTTGGAAACGTAAAATCTAAAATTTATAAAAATCAAAAGGGAGATCATGTCAATAGATATAAACAATTAACCAAATTTTCTTGCAAGTTGGTGAAAGCATTCTTGAGTTATTGTCCGAAAACTGGAAAATCCCCCTTTTTTTAATGAATAAAACCCCATAACTCGGAAACGTAAAATCTAAAATTTATAAAAAACGAAAGGGAGCTCACGTCAATAGATATAAACAATTCACCAAAGTTTTATGCAAATTGGTTGAAGCGTTTTTGAGTTAATGTCCAACATGTTGACGACGGACGGACGGACGGATGGACAACGGTATACCATAATACGTCCCGTAAACGGGCGTATAAAAATCATAAAACATCTATTATACAAACCTGCTGCGACTATCACTGTGTCCTCGTCTCCTTGGTGATGGTGATCCCCTGCGTCTTGGAGAAGGAGATCTGCAAAAAGTATAAAATAGAAACTGACTAAACACAAACGCTCCATCAATAGATTACATTCATCAAAAAACAAGATAATTGCAACACAATCAGATGTACAAATTTCAAGATTTATTAGGGAAAGCTTACTCCTGAAAAGGCATTTTCTTATCACTAAGAAACACTAACCACAACCTGGAAAGCTTCTAGAACAAAGCAAACATTTCAAAGTTATTTTCCTACCATATCATTATTTTCCTTTGTTTAACAGATTGAATGATTGTTCTAATGTAGTAATGAAATATTTGCCATTGGACGTTAAGCAACCAACAATCAATCAATCAATCTAATGTAGTAGAAAAAGTGGTACAAATCATTGATTTGAGATTGAAAACTAAAAGCAATAGACCACTTTCGAGTTCATCCTTCACCGGAAAAAACTCGTCAATTATGCGCGCCTTTATGATGTCATTTACCAGATAGAGGGGATCGCCTGTATCCCTGCACTATTAACGTTCATCAAGTGTCTAAGTGATCGTCATTGTGCAGGATAAACTAGAAATAATGTTTGTTTTGTAAGTACTTAATCACAATTCCCTAATGACAGCAGTGCTGATTGTTAATTATGAGAATTTAATTTGCCGAATAATTCATGCAATATAGCATTATAGTTTTCCAACCACTTGCTCAACATTGGAACGGAAGTGACGATGCCCCTAAACGTACGAATGATGTTCACTAAAACCAGATTTTTTGACGGAAATGCATCGAACTCGAAAGTTGTCTATTGTTATTTTATACATGATATCTGTGTTATGAAATATGTACATAACAGGAGGGCAAGTTACTTTCTAAAAAATTAAATTAAAAAGTGCACCTTTGATAGCTTATGCCTCTTTTTTCCATGGATGTGTTATAACATTAATGCATTATCTTTTTACCAACAGTGTTGAAAAAAGATCATTTTTCATTTTTTTTTTAATTGTCATTATTCAAACAGAACCTTGATCATTGTTGATGATAAAACTATAAACTCTATCCCTCTACCTCAAGGTTTTTTAAACCCAAAGGGGTATAAATGACCACAACTTTACACTGTGCAAAACAATCTGTCCATGTAACTTTACCCTGAAAACCCCTTACAGATGCTTCTTTATAAATTATGTGCATGTAGAAAGGAAATATGTTTATCTATATAAATATCAAAATACATGTATACACAATATCTGTATAATCTTGATAACAGATACCTTGCTAATTCATGCCCAAAATACCAACACAGTAAATTACTTCCATAATGAAACCCACATTTTCAGATATATATCATGAATAGGCCTAACTGTGAAACGAAATCCTCTCCCAAACTAACAATTAAGTTAAAGTCATATGAAACTAGTTTCTTTTAATTCCAATGTTTCAAAACTATTCAAACAAAGCATGCATATATATACTTAACTAAGTCCTGTATGCAAAATTTTATATTTATTATGAATCTATAAATTAACATACATGTATCATCAACAAATAATATTTCATTCTTTGATTGCTGATCTCAAGATAATTAACTTTCAAGTTTGTTGCCGAAGTTTAACAGATTGTAACATTGATAAACAATCAATACAGAGCAGGTGGAGTATGTGATAAATAAAGGAATTGATAGAGCCACGAAATTTTTTTCTTATATTTTCCATGCATTCCCATTTATGAATTAAACTTTTCGTTAACAGTTTTTAACTGATATGTTGTATTAAATTCTTTAAGATCAGTTATTGATATTCACCTTCCAGTGCATGTTTGTTTACTTTCTTTCATCACATGTTTACATTTGCACTTGCGCTGTGCAGTGGCAGACGTTCTAACGAGAGGTCTCATAGATAAGGTCACTAAATACGGGAAAATATCAGCGAATTAGTGTCAGGTAGGACAATAATTCAATAGCAGTACATTTATTAAGATTTTGATAATATAAAGGATTTTCTTTTACAAGAATGTTAATGTACACTTGTTTTATACATGTAGTAAAACTGCCATTCAAGTATATAAAACATATTCAACTTTTTTTTTAATTTGAAGTTTCATATGACTTCAATTAGAACCTAAATAAATAAATAACTGGAAAATAACTAAAACACATATAACAATGGCACCATCATAAATAACCTTGATGCAGATACAGTGAAATATACGAAATAAAACAGGCTATAATAATATAATTGGTAGTGTCTTTTGTCCTATATTAAAGATTTTTGGAGAACTTGGCAATTCTCTATTGAAAATGTTGTAAAATACATTTTAAATTTAAATCATATCCATACATTGCATTTGCCTCAAACTAATTCATTGATCCATGATCTTTCAACAAATGTGTGCTGAAATGTTGCCAATTTCATTTTGTCAACATTGTCAACCAAAGATTCTGCATCAAGTTATTTTACCATGGCAAATGAGTGTTAGTAAGGCAACCAAAACAGGACTAACTTTGTTAATATTAAAACACACTAAAACTTTCTTCTGCTGAAAAAATTATAATTTACATGAACTGGTACCCTAATCCATGATGATAATGTCAGATGGGGTGACAATTTGTCCATGTTTTAACCCATGCTTAAGCTGGGTGTGGTCAAGAGATGAAGCTGAGAGCCCATATTAGAGGTGCTTGTTGTTATTAGAGATGATTGACAGATTTGGTATCTGTCAATCAAACTTTGCTGAAAAAGCGTTGGCTGAGGAGTCAGTTGTTACATGGTCTTGTTGATAGCGTTGACCCAGAGCTACGGTTGATAGGATGTCAACGTTGAGACGTGAGGAAGTTGTGTTTTGATGTGATGCCTGATGACTTGTTTGAAGACAAAGAGAGAGGCCCTGTAAAGGGTGCAGTCATCATATTAATAAATACAAAAAAACACGTAAATTTCTACACAATTCAAGTCATGCACAATGGTGTCAGAAAACACAAAATGTAATAATATATTTTAAATCATCAATGTGCTGAAAGAAGAAATCACAGATATTTTACATAGTAAATTGATTTGCACATAGTTTAAACAAAATTATACAAAAACATAAAAAATCAAAAAATTATCTTTACAGTCGTGTAATAAAGTTATTGTGATACAAGTTACATGAAATTTCTGATACGAACAAGTTCTAATATATATGAGTACAATGTATTTCAAAAAAAGAATACAAGTATATTGTTCAACCCTTATATGTGTGCTCTTTCTTTTCTCTCTTTCTTCAACACAAATATTTATGAAAAATATTTGAGTTGTCATTTTTTTTTTCTGAAACAGGTTTGGGCTGCATAAAAACAGTTAGTACTCAGTACTAACAAGTTAAAAAAGTATGAATTATTCGATATACTATGGATTTTCTTATCCCAGGCATAGATTACCTTAGCCGTATTTGGCCCAACTTTTTGGAATTTTGGGTCCTCAATGCTCTTCAACTTTATACTTGTTTGGCTTTATTACTATTTTGATCTGAGTGACACTGATGAGTCTTATGTAGACGAAACGCGCATCTGGCGTACTAAATTATAAGCCTAGTACCTTTGATAACTAATTAAACAAATTAAAATACAAATATTTTCAATCCTATAATTCATTGAAAGGAAGTTTCGTCTTATCTTTGTTTGCTAATTCTAAGTACTGAATACACAAGGATTGTCGATTGGAAACCATGACTATTTACACATAAAGTATGAAAACCAAACATTTTTTTGATAAATTTCAATTAATCAATCTTTTATAAGCATTCAAATTAACCTATAACTTCTTAAAGGGCCCTTAGCTATGAGATATGAAAAAATTAATGGGGAATATGTCCATGGGACAGATGATGCCCCCGCTTGCATATAACGTTAAAAAGGAACTGTAAAAGTGACGCTACCCAAATTTGTACTTGATCTGTGTTTTGTGGTAATAGGCATTGTGTATAAGTTTCATAACATTTGGTTGAGGCAAACTAAAGTAAGAGAACGGAATCGAATATTTCAGCAATTTTTCCATTTGTAAAGGGCATAACTCTAGAACAATAAAAGTGACGCCACCAAAATTCGAACTTGATCTGTGTTTTGTGGTAATTAGCATTGTGCATAATTTTCATAACATTTGGTTGAGGCAAACTAAAGTAAGAGAACGGAATAGAATATTTCAGCAATTTTTCCATTTATAAAGGGCTTAACTCTAGAACAATAAAAGTGACATCACCAAAATTCGAGAAGTTTGAGAACGGAAACCATTTATGGGACATAGGGAAGGACGTACGTATACGTACAGACGGACAAGGGTAAAACTACGGCGGGGTCATAAAAATATGATTTTTTTTTGGTTCAATCATTAATGAAAGTGAAATAGTGAAATCATAAAAACTTTCAGCAGTCAGCTGGGTTCAATTTTGTCAAAATAAGCTTAGAAACATCGCTGATGAATTATTCACTTGGAAGTGAATAAACAACCTCATTGAATCCGTATTCATGTGACCTTCAATTTAACAACTTAGCTGGAGATGAGTTATGCATGTGTTCAGCTATTAAAAGGAAAAGAATGTCAACATTGAAAGTGAAACAAGGATGAACCATTTGGTTGAGTGATGCAATCCACAAAAAAAAATCATTCTTATACAGGTAAAAAGAAACATACTTTTTAACCTACAATATAAATCAACCAGACCTAGAAAAATTCGTAAGGGTTCCGCGGATCCCAGTGTCTCGCCTATTTTTGTTGTTAATCACAGGCTCAACAAAAATGAGGAAAAAAAAATTAAAATATTCCTCTCGATACTATCTTTTGATTGTAAGAAGCTTCTGTCCAAGTTTAGTAAAAATCCAGGATAGTTTATGAATCTAATAAATGTTTTAAAAACTTTAACTGCAGACTGTACATGTATGTAATGTTAACTGGCAGAAAAACTAAGTCCATTTATAAGTAAAATACGGAAAAACAGGAACAAAATTTCCTTCTAGATACTAGCTTTTGATCATAAACAAGCTTCTGTCCTAGTTTGGTAGAAATCAAGGATAATTTAAGAAAGTTATTAAAATTTTAAAAAATTTAACCACAGAGTGAATGTAATGTTTCCTGGCAGAAAAACTAAGTCCATTTAGAGGTAAAATACGGAAAAAATGGATTTTTTTTTTACAAAATTTACTTTTGGATACTATCTTATGATCATAAACAAGCTTCTGTCCTAGTTTGGTAGAAATCAAGGTAGAAATCCAGGATAGTTTAAGAAAGTTATTAAAATTTCAAAAACTTTAACCACAGAGTGAATATTTGTGGACGCCGCCGACGCCGACGGAATGTAGGATCGCTATGTCTCGCCTTTTCGACAAAAGTCGAAGGCTCGACAAAAACCAAAATGTATGTGGTCGCTATCAATTAATATTTATATTTATGTTTATATCGGGTTAAATGACCGTCAGCAGTCTTCAGATGTCATCTCAGTGGTTAATTAGATGATGTCTAGACAACATACACACGAAATGCTGGTATATAGTATCAAGTACAAACATTTTCAATTGTTTATTTTAGACTTTTTTAATTTGGATATACGTTTTAGTTTGTTATAAATCAATTATGAGAATTTGATTCAAAGGGTGAACATGATTTTGACAGCTGATGCCCCTTTATATTCATTATACAATACACTTTCATGTTTGGTTTACATACTTGTTCCACTTGTACGTCAACATTTTAGTGGCATGCATTCATTTAGCCCTGTAGGATATGTAAACATTATGACAAGGAATAATATCCTTTTCCATTATGTGTGTGTAATTATAATTACTTTTTTTTTATGAATTGGCAAAAAAAAAATGAAAGCACAAATATGACAAAAACTAGCCTACATTTGTGTCCAAATTTTCTGATTTACAGGAAATTCTCTGATTGTAACAATTAAATCATACAATGACATATTTTTGGAATTATCTACCTTGAACGACCTCTTCCACTATAACCACCTCCTCTGCCACCACCTTGTCTCCAGTCATCCCTATACCCTCCTCCACGTTTAGGAGGACCGTCTTTGCCCCAGCGAGATTTCCCTGATGACATTTCTACTCTTACTCTTCTACCATTTACTCTCCTGTAAAATAATGTTAACGTTTAATGCAATGGAGAAGTTTTAGGTTTATTGTATACATGTTTGTTTCCTGCCTATTGACAGTGTTCCCGCCTGCCCTAAATAGACGGGCAGCCCGCCCTTGGTGTCCTTACCCCCGCCCTTCTGTCCTCCAAAGTAAAAGAATGCAACCCTCTGCCTTTTCAAAAAAATAAAATTTCCAAATTTCATGCCTACCGGCGTTTCCGGTAAAATTGTTACCTGATTGTGTAACTCTAATTAACTGACAATGGGATAAAGTTAAATACCTAATGCTTTGGCAGTTTTATCATCTTTGTTAATGATTGTTTACTGCTAATTAGTGGATTTAAGATAATTGAACAAATACTAGATATTTAATACAAAATGAAATGTCCATGTGTTATCCATTTGTAATGTTTATGTACAGCATGTACACCTGAAACAATTTATTTCAGTAGGCATAACATAAACTAGAGGCTCCCAAGAGCCTGTGTCGCTCACCTGATTCTACTTTGGTTTTCGAAATCATGTAAAAATAGTCTAAAACCATAACAGATACCCTAATAATGATTGAGGCTAAATTTGGTTTAATATTGGCCCCGTAATTTAATCAAAAGCAGAAGACTTTTGTAAAGTTTACAGAAATTAACAATAAATTCATTTAATTGTAGAAAATGACTTTATAAAGACAATGACAAATCAGCTACAAAGTAACAACACTTGGTCAACACCTCCAAAGAAACATTCATACCATGTTTGGTTTCAATCCATTAAGCAGTTTTCTAGAAGAAGACATTTGTAAATATTTCCCATAAGGTCCTTTGTTAAACTAAGCCCCCCGTTTGCACCCATCTTCGTTGATGGATTTGCTACAAAGTAACAACACTTGGTCAGCACCTCATAAGGAACATTCATGCCATGTTTGGTTTCATTTCATTCAGTGGTTCTTCAAAAGAAGACTTTTGTATGTATTTCACATAGGGTCCTTTGTTAAACTAAGTTCCCCGATGGCAGTCATCTTGGATGATTGATTGGCTACCAAGTAACACTTGGCCAGCACCTCATTAGGAACATTCATGCTATGTTTGGTTTCATTCTATTCAGTGGTTCACTTAAAGAAAACATTTGTATATATTTCACATAGGGTCCTATGTTAAACTAAGTCCTCCCTGACGGCCATCTTGGATGATTGATCGCCTACTAAGTTACAATACTTGGTCAGCACCTCATAAGGAACATTCATGCCATGTTTTATTCCATTCCATTTAGTGGTTCTCTAAAAGAAGATATTTGTACGTATTTCCCTAATGGTCCTATGTTAAACTAAGTCCCCCGCTGGCGGCCATTTTGGATGATGGATCGGCTTCAAATTAACAACAGTTGGTCAGCACCTCAAAAGGAACATTCATGCCATGTTTGGTTTCATTCCATTCAGTGGTTCTCTAAACGAAAACATTTGTATGTATTGTCCATAGGGTCCTATATTAAACTAAGTCCCCCGCTGGCGGTCATCTTGGATGATTGATCGCTTACAAAGTTACAACATTTGGTCAGCACCTCATAAGGAACATTCATGCCATGTTTTATTTCATTCCGTTTAGTGGTTCTCTAAAAGCAGCGTTTGTATGTATTTCCCATAGGGTCCTATATTAAACTAACTCCCTCTCTGGCGGCCATCTTGGGTGATGGATCGGCATCAAGGTAACAACACATGGTCAGCACCTCATAAGGAACATTTATGCCATGTTCGGTTTCATTCCATTTAGTGATTCTCTAAAAGAAGACATTTTTATGTATTTCCCATAAGGTCCTATGTTAAACTAAGTCCCCCGCTGGCGGCAATCTTGGATTATCGATCGGCTTCAAAGTAACAACACTTGGTCAGCACCTCATAAGGAACATTCATGCCATGTTTGGTTTCATTCCATTCAGTGGTTCTCTAAAAGAAGACATTTGTATGTATTTCCCATAGGGTCCTATGTTAAACTAAGTCCCCAACTGGCGGCCATCTTGGATTATGGATCGGCTACAAAGTAACAACACTTGGTCAGCACCTCATAAGGAACATTCATGTCATGTTTGGTTTCATCCCATTCAGTGGTTCTTCAAAAGAAGACTTTTGTATGTATTTCACATAGGGTCCTTTGTTAGACTAAGTTCCCCGATGGCAGCCATCGTGGATGATTGATTGGCTACCAAGAACTTGGCCATCACCTCATTAGGAACATTCATGCTATGTTTGGTTTCATTCCATTCAGTGCTTCACTTAAAGAAAACATTTGTATATATTTCACATAGGGTCCTATGTTAAACTAAGTCCACCCTGGCGGCCATCTTGGATGATTGATCGACTACTAAGTTACAACACTTGGTCAGCACCTCATAAGGAACATTCATGCCATGTTTTATTTCATTCCATTTAGTGGTTCTCTAAAAGAAGATATTTGTATGTATTTCCCTTATGGTCCTATGTTAAACTTAGTCCCCCGCTGGCGGCCATCTTAGATGATGGATCGGCTTCAAAGTAAAAACACTTGGTCAGCACCTCAAAAGGAACATTTATGCCATGTTTGGTTTCATTCCATTCAGTGGTTCTCTAAACGAAAACATTTGTATGTATTGTCCAAAGGGTCCTATATTAAACTAAGTCCCCCGCTGGCGGCCATCTTGGATGATTGATCGCCTAAAGTTACAAAACTTGGTCAGCACCTCATAAGGAACATGCATGCCATAATTTATTTCATTCCGTTTAGTGGTTCTCTAAAAGAAGCGTTTGTATGTATTTCCCATAGGGTCCTATATTAAACTAACTCCCTCTCTGGCGGCCATCTTGGGTGATGGATCGGCTTCAAAGTAACAACACATGGTCAGCACCTTATAAGGAACGTTTATGCCATGTTTGGTTTCATTCCATTCAGTGATTCTCTAAAAGAAGACATTTGTAAATATTTCCCATAGGGTCGTATGTAAAACTAAGTCCCCCGCTGGCAGCCATCTTGGATATGGATGGGCTTCAAAGTAACAACACTTGGTCAGCACCCCATAAGAAACATTCATGCCATGTTTGGTTTCATTCCATTCAGTGGTTCTTTAAAAGAAGACATTTGTATGTATTTCCCATAGGGTCCTATGTTAAACTAAGTCTCCCGCTGGCGGCCATCTTGAATGATGGCTTGGCTTCAAAGTAAAAACACTTGGTCAGCACCTCATAAGGAACATTCATGCCATGTTTTATTTCATTCCGTTTAGTGGTTCTCTAAAAGCAGCGTTTGTATGTATTTCCCATAGGGTCCTATATTAAACTAACTCCCTCTCTGGCGGCCATCTTGGGTGATGGATCGGCATCAAGGTAACAACACATGGTCAGCACCTCATAAGGAACATTTATGCCATGTTCGGTTTCATTCCATTTAGTGATTCTCTAAAAGAAGACATTTTTATGTATTTCCCATAAGGTCCTATGTTAAACTAACTCCCCCGCTGGCAGCCATCTTGGATTATGGATGGACTTCAAAGTAACAAAACTTGGTCAGCATATCATAAGGAACATTCATGCCATGTTTGGTATCATTCCATTCAGTGGTTCTCTAAAAGAAGACATTTTTATGTATTTCCCATAAGGTCCTATGTTAAACTAAGTCCCCCGCTGGCGGCAATCTTGGATTATCGATCGGCTTCAAAGTAACAACACTTGGTCAGCACCTCATAAGGAACATTCATGCCATGTTTGGTTTCATTCCATTCAGTGGTTCTCTAAAAGAAGACATTTGTATGTATTTCCCATAGGGTCCTATGTTAAACTAAGTCCCCAACTGGCGGCCATCTTGGATTATGGATCGGCTACAAAGTAACAACACTTGGTCAGCACCTCATAAGGAACATTCATGTCATGTTTGGTTTCATCCAATTCAGTGGTTCTTCAAAAGAAGACTTTTGTATGTATTTCACATAGGGTCCTTTGTTAGACTAAGTTCCCCGATGGCAGCCATCGTGGATGATTGATTGGCTACCAAGAACTTGGCCATCACCTCATTAGGAACATTCATGCTATGTTTGGTTTCATTCCATTCAGTGCTTCACTTAAAGAAAACATTTGTATATATTTCACATAGGGTCCTATGTTAAACTAAGTCCACCCTGGCGGCCATCTTGGATGATTGATCGACTACTAAGTTACAACACTTGGTCAGCACCTCATAAGGAACATTCATGCCATGTTTTATTTCATTCCATTTAGTGGTTCTCTAAAAGAAGATATTTGTATGTATTTCCCTTATGGTCCTATGTTAAACTTAGTCCCCCGCTGGCGGCCATCTTAGATGATGGATCGGCTTCAAAGTAAAAACACTTGGTCAGCACCTCAAAAGGAACATTTATGCCATGTTTGGTTTCATTCCATTCAGTGGTTCTCTAAACGAAAAAATTTGTATGTATTGTCCAAAGGGTCCTATATTAAACTAAGTCCCCCGCTGGCGGCCATCTTGGATGATTGATCGCCTAAAGTTACAAAACTTGGTCAGCACCTCATAAGGAACATGCATGCCATAATTTATTTCATTCCGTTTAGTGGTTCTCTAAAAGAAGCGTTTGTATGTATTTCCCATAGGGTCCTATATTAAACTAACTCCCTCTCTGGCGGCCATCTTGGGTGATGGATCGGCTTCAAAGTAACAACACTTGGTCAGCACCTTATAAGGAACGTTTATGCCATGTTTGGTTTCATTCCATTCAGTGATTCTCTAAAAGAAGACATTTGTAAATATTTCCCATAGGGTCGTATGTAAAACTAAGTCCCCCGCTGGCAGCCATCTTGGATATGGATGGGCTTCAAAGTAACAACACTTGGTCAGCACCCCATAAGAAACATTCATGCCATGTTTGGTTTCATTCCATTCAGTGGTTCTTTAAAAGAAGACATTTGTATGTATTTCCCATAGGGTCCTATGTTAAACTAAGTCTCCCGCTGGCGGCCATCTTGAATGATGGCTTGGCTTCAAAGTAAAAACACTTGGTCAGCACCTCATAAGGAACATTCATGCTATGTTTGGTTTCATTCCATTCAGTGGTTCACTTAAAGAAAACATTTGTATATATTTCACATAGGGTCCTATGTTAAACTAAGTCCACCCTGGCGGCCATCTTGGATGATTGATCGCCTACTGAGTTACAACACTTGGTCAGCACCTCATAAGGAACATTCATGCCATGTTTTATTTCATTCCATTTTGTGGTTCTCTAAAAGAAGATATTTGTATGTATTTCCCTTAGGGTCCTATGTTAAACTAAGTCCCCCGCTGGCAGCCATCTTAGATGATGGATAGGCTTCAAAGTAACAACACTTGGTCAGCACCTCATAAGGAACATTCATGCCATGTTTGGTTTCATTTCATTCAGTGGTTCTCTAAACGAAAACATTTATATTTTTTGTCCAAAGGGTCCTATATTAAATCAAGTCCCCCACTGGCGGCCATCTTGGATGATTGATCGCCTAAAGTTACAAAACTTGGTCAGCACCTCATAAGGAACATGCATGCCATAATTTATTTCATTCCGTTTAGTGGTTCTCTAAGAGAAGCGTTTGTATGTATTTTCCATAGGTCCTATATTAAACTAACTCCCTCTCTGGCGGCCATCTTGGGTGGTGGATCGGCTTCAAAGTAACAACACATGGTCAGCACCTCATAAGAAACGTTTATGCCATGTTTGGTTTCATTCCATTTAGTGATTCTCTAAAAAAAAGACATTTGTAAATATTTCCGATAGGGTCGTATGTAAAACTAAGTCCCCCGCTGGCAGCCATCTTGGATGATGACTTGGCTTCAAAGTAACACCACTTGGTCAGCATCTCATAAGGAACATTCATGCCATGTTTGGTTTCATTCCATTCAGTGGTTCTCTAAAAGAAGACATTTGTATGTATTTCCCATAGGGTCCTATGTTAAACTAAGTCCCCAGCTGGCGTCCATCTTGGATTATGGATGGGCTTCAAAGTAACAACACTTGGTCAGCATCTCATAAGGAACATTCATGCCGTGTTAGGTTACATTCCATTCAGTGGTTCTCTAAAAGAAGACATTTGTATGTATTTCCCATAGGGTCATATGTTAAACTAAGTCCCCCGCTGGCGGCCATCTTGGATTATGGATTGGCTCAAAGTAACAACACTTGGTCAGCATCTGATAAGGAACATTCGTGCTATGTTTGGTTTCATTCCATTCAGTGGTTCTCTTAAAGAAGACATTTGTATGTATTTCCCATAGGGTCCTATGTTAAACTAAGTCCCCCGCTGGCGGCCATCTTGGATTATGGATCGGCTTCAAAGTAACAACACTTGGTCAACACCTCATAAGGAACGTTCATCCCATGTTTGGTTTCATTCCATTCGGTGGTTCTCTAGAAGAAGTTCAAAATGTAAAAAGTTAATGACGACGACGGACGACGTTGACGGACGACGGACGCCAAGTGATGAGAAAAGCTCATTTGGCCCTTCGGTCCAGGTGAGCTAAAAATAAAATCTTAAACAATTTCAAAGGCATAATTTTGACTTAATTGGTAAAAATTGTTTTGTTTCATAACCATGTGTATGAAAATTAAAGAAAAATCTAAGAAATTTGTACTTTGAACATAACAAGATTCACTTCCTGTTTTACTTCTTGTATTTTATAATCCTCCTGACATAAGAGCACTCAACAAATTTATTTTTAACAAAGATGGAGAAAAAAGTAACTGTTTATACCTTCTGCAATATATTATTGCATCAATATAATATGATCATCTACAGTCTCACCTGTTATATTTATAAAACTCCTTACTGAGGAGCACTTTGGCGTGCACTTAAAAATACTTTTTTGTAACAATTCAAATGATAATAAATAACTCTCAATAATATATATACTATATGTTTGAACAAGTAATTTACATTAGTAGTTTTACATTAAACATTCAATTTTGCATGTATAACTCCATCTTTCGAAACTACTTGTTTATTTTTATAGACTGGTGTAAGTTATAAAACATTGAAATTTCCGATGATTATTTTCCTTACCAAATGTACAAGTTTGTTTAGATTAACATCAAAATGATATGCTTTGCTTCATGGTATGATAATTTGATAGAAAAAAAATTCTTACTGGAACCAACATCAAGAACACATTAATTTCTGAATATGGTTTAAATACAATTAATGTTCTCCAGCTGCATGAGCCTAGCAATATTCAAGGTAATTAATACACTGTGTCCAACAGTGCCCTTAAAATCTGGGTTATAACGCTAAAGTGCCCTTTCAGACAACTAGCACCCCCCTTCCCTGAGATTCAAGCTGGAACACTGCTATTGACATTACAAAAATATATAGTTGTATATGGAGTTGTGATTGTGCAGTAGGGCAATAAACATGTAGATACAGTTGTCTTTGAAGAAGTAAAAAATAATCAATATTAAAGACAACAACACTCGTAAATTACTGCAAAGTACTTACAAATATATGTTAAAAGTTTGTTTTTTTATTTTGCTTTTCTTGTTGACTAAATCTTAAAAAAATTACATTTTTGATCTTGACTAACATTACAATTCTTGTTATTTGGGCATGCACAATGACAACTTTTTCTACTTGATTTTGTCATTTTTTTATAGCTTTTTTATATAATTATCATAAGTAAATGAATTTTTGGTCTTATATATGAATTATAGTCATTTCGTACCCTAACCAATTCGTACCACCATTTTGTACCCTGGCAAAAACTATTTCGTACCCTTACCATTTCGTACCTTGACCATTTCGTACCTCATGGAAAATTTATATGTATGCCATTTCGTACCTCATGAAAGATTTATATGTATGCAATTTCGTACCTGATGGAAGATTTATATGTCTTTGATTTCTTGGTTAAAACTGTCTCATTGATGTGCGCCATTTTATAGCTTATGGTAGATTCATATGTATACCATTTCGTACCTCATGGAAGATTTGTATGTATACCATTTCGTACATCATGGAAGATTTATATGTATACCATTTCGTACCTCATGGAAGATTTATATGTATACCATTTCGTACCTCATGGAAGATTTGTTTGTATATCATTTCGTACCTCATGGAAGATCTGTATGTACTGTGGATTCATTTATTTTCATGGGTATCAATTTTCGTGGATCGCTGAAAACTTACATATTCGTGGATATTTGATTTCGTGGTTTTGCCATTCTCTGTATACAAAGCCTTTTGAAAATATGTTATTCGTTGAACATTTGAATTCGTGGTTCACCTGTCCCCACAAAACCCACGAAAATTGGTATCCAACGTATAATAATGAATCCACAGTATACCATTTCGTGCCTCATGGAAGGGTTGTGTGTATGCCATTTCTTTCCTCATGGGAGATTTATATGGGCGGTAGCTATAGAGATCACGAGAAATGCCTAAAATTTTAAATTAAAGCACCAATGGGATATTATAAAAAACGATTTTTTTTTTAAACTTGTATTTAAATATTAAATATTATTTTAGATATTAACTTGCGCTTTAGTAACAGTTCACATTCCGATAACATTGATTTTGTTACTTTGGTATAAACTTGTAATTAAAGACATGCGCCGAACTGGTGTATTGTTTTAAAAATGTAGCATTCTATTTAATTGGATTAAAAATGTTTCTTGAATACATGTACACGTGCCATTTGAAATAGCGACGTGTGCCTAAATATTGAGATATATTTAATTGATTATCGTTAGGTTGTTGGTTTATCAACTTCATATTTTTAGAGTTGAACAATTAATTAAGGATAAATCCTGCAAACAAACAAAGACTGTAATTAAAGTGTCCAAGTGCTGCTTAAGTAAACAAATCATCGGTCTTTATAAAATTTCTACGGCAGGATGCATTGTATTTATGTTATATTTAAAACAAAAAATCATCTTAAAATGTTTTATATCGAAAAAAAATGATGACTTTTACAAATATATGATACGAAATAGTGAACATGTATTTGACTTGGATGGAGAGTTGTCTCATTGGCACTCATACCACATCTTCCTATATCTATTTGGTCCGTGAGGTACGAAATGGTTTTTCTCGTGGTAACGAAATGGTAATTTTGGGTACGAAAAGGCAGAGGTACGAAATGGTCAAGATACGAAATGACTTGCTATCTTATATATATGTGGGTTTACAAGGTGAACAATTTAAATTATTGTTTGTACATACATCTTGCATTCATATAAACATATACATGTATTGCATTCAATATAAATTAATTATCAACAAAGGGTCTTTAGGGACATTGACCACTACAATGTGATTCAATCACCACCAATCAAACAATTTGGACCACTTCCACTTAAACAGATGGTTGAACAGAAAACATTTGAAAGGTGTCCCATTACTAAAATGCTAACACATTCTTAAGTGGTCCAATGCTTAAGTGCCAACACATTCTTAAGTGGTCCAATTCTTACGTGCCATCAAGAGCCTTCGTGGCATCTTCAGCATCACGGGGATCTTAAAATTCAATCAATGCAAAACCTGGGGGGTTTCGAGCAACCCATACATTTCTTAGCGGTCCATATCTCTGAAACATGTCTTCTATTTCTTGTTTAGCAGCACCATAACCTAAATCACCAATATATACTTTACAGTCCAGACGCCAGTCTTTTGTTGCCCTTGCTGCCATTTTTTACTACAAAAAATAAAACAAAACTTGCATTAATAAACATCTCTGTGATTCTTTTTCCTATTTATAGGTTCTATATTCAGTATGCACCACTTCTCCCAAACATGTACAATGGAATGGGCCTAAGCCAAGTTCTCAATCAATTTTCAAAACTAAAATACCATATGAGTTTACTTATAGACATATCACTGTATTTTAACTTGCATTGGATAGCATGACAGGTGCCATTACGATTAGTGATGCAGGAACTTCTTAACTTTACAGTGCACATGAGTTGAACAGTTCAACACTGGTTTTCCTGGGGTTTGTTTGCTCAATTTTAAGTTTTTCATGTAGTGGTTGTTAATGTTGTATGTCATTTCGTTGTTTTTCTTTTAGACCATAGTCTTGTCTGTTTTTATTTGACTTATGATAGTTGTATCCTCAAGTTACATGTACCATCTGGAAACCATTTTTCAATATTATCACAAAATGATACACTTTTTTTACCTTCCCTATATCTTGATCACATAAAATTATACTGTAATAGAAAGATTTAATTTTTATTTATCTAGGTGCGGCCAGGCTTAAAAACATTTCATGTTGCACAAGTTTGTCTAGGTTCCAAGTACTCGGAGTAAACATGGTAAATTTTGCAGAGAAAACACAGTCTTTTTTTTTAAATCTTAGACAACTAATCCCACTGCCAACCCACCATTGAAATGATTTATTTCAATCACTCCCAACTCATAAATACGAATGTTTCTGCCTACATGCAATTGCAAGTCTTAAGTAAAAATATATTTAAAATTTAAACTTTTTTTTGTTCTCATTATTGTGATTTTTTTCCCACATGGTAACATTCTCTTTATCAGTGGGACAGGTTTGTGGGATATTTAGGGCCATGAAAGTGTTGATAATGTGTGAAGAGTGGGGACAAGTTGACTTTAAAGGGATATTTTGGTAGTGCGGCGAGTTGTCCTGCTTGTTAAATAGTTATGATGAACCTTATATTATATGTATTTGGTCTCAGATTTAAAAAAAATATATGCATGGTATCAGCGGGATTCGAACCCTCAATCTAGGGATGTAAAGGTAGCACTTTAATCGACTGAGCCAGAGATCTTCCTACCAGTGTATCACACAAGGCCGAGTTAACCCCCTAATTCTACGGAGCAGTGACACAACATTAACAAATTATGGTGTACAACTTATTTCAAGATTTTGAGAAAACAGAAGAGTGGAAATTTTTGGTGTGAGCACTTTTCCCTGGGCAAGTTCAACTGTAAATTTTATTTGTCTGGAAAAAAAACTGGCCATGAATTTCCCATTAAATATTCAAGTAGTTTACTTGCTCTGAATTTCCCATTAAATATTTAAGTAGATTACTGTAAGCTTGTACGATTCTTAAAACTGTTTTGTATTGCAATATAAATGATGTTTGTGATATTTATTTATGTGTATAAAAAAAAGGAGGTATGAGATTAACAATGAGACGGAAACCCAAAAGCAAAATAACCAAATAAATCTAGAAGGCAACTAACGTTTTGTCAATTTCCTCCGACACCTGTTTACTTTACTATTTTCTTTCATCTGACAAGCTTGGTGTTTTGCAGAACATTGATGGGCCACCAAAGAGTCACTTCTATCTATTAATTTGCCATCAATTAAGTAAGATTTTGATCATCAAGTTGTTGGTGTATCCTACAAATTGTGCAACAATTTAATTTATGTTCAGAAGTTTCTTCACTGTAGAGTCTGGTGAAATTTATAAGCCACGACGTTTGAACTTCTATTTGATGTATTCCTTGTCTTTTTTCGTTTATTTTTCTTCGTTTCTTCATTGTTATTTTTATTCTTGTCATCATTAGGTCCTATTGATATATTTTTATAATTTGTGGGCCGACCTAAGGGCCACGGTTCCGCAGCTAGTATTTATCCATCTTGATAAAACCAAAATAAAAAAAATCAAAATAACGCTTCCGTTTGAAGGCGGATGAAACCTGGTCAATGGAGAAAAATAAGGCAATGTTTATGAGACCCAGATTTGCATACTCGTATTTATCTTTTTAATTTTGGTTATCGATCTATTTCCAGGTTTTTTAATACTTGTCGCCATGAACCCTTAATATATATTAATAAGTTGTGAAAGTAATTCTGTATTTTTTTTTATCAAATTTAGTTTTGTCAAGATAATTTTTTTTATACTTGTCCACGGGCAACCTAGATAAAAAAAAATTGCTATAGTATAGTAATATTTAGTACTTGTCCGGTTGTTCAAATGTATGAGTCGAGCGAGTCGGGCATAGCATTTTCACACCCCTGATATAGTTCATGTACCAGGTAACCCAGGACCATGTGGGGCATAGGCGGTAATATATTCTGGAAATAGCCAAGGCATCAGTAGCTAGCAGAGGATCAATACTATTTGCCAAACTTGTAGTACATGTAGCTATCCTAATGGTTCTTGAGCACTGCGTTACATCAGTTAAAGGACTAGTTCTCTGAAGTCAAACTACTGCTGTAGGCATCTTAACTCTAAATTGAAATCTTCAAGCTACATTGACACAATAACAGACATTAGAGAAGGCATGAGGACACTCTTGAAACACGACTACTAACAATCCTATCTTGGATCCCAGGGCATGCTAATCAATATAGCCATGAACGAGATAGCAGACAATTTGGCAAAATATACTGGAAAGGGGGCCTCATTGTTAAACAACCAACTTAATATCATAACAATATCAGATGTAAGTGCAGGCTATAAAACTGAAATGGCAAAGTAATTAGACAATTTGTGAAACTGAAGACGACTTTTTGTTCTGGTACCTACTGGGGAGGGATGTACAACCTGACGCATCAAACCCCCAAATACAATGTTTGAGGAATATTGTCAGAATTTAAAACAAGCTACAGCAGATTGAATGAATACAGAAAACAGCAGATTGAATGGATACAGAAACAAAATAGGTCAATCTTTCTAGACATACAGAATGAATGCGGCAAAGAAGAGACAACATAATACTACTTAATATACTGCCCAAGACACCAACAGGAAAGAGAAGACATGATAAGACAACTGGAAATATTGAACATTCCACAAGACATATGATCAATATTGTCACCACCAAAGAGAGAAACCTCAGCACGATGAAGCAACAGCACACATTGTAGGGATGTATACGGATAGATCAAGGCGATTTCAAGAACTGACACGCCCTGAATCCCGAGCCTAAATAAATATTGTAAAGTACTGCGAGAAATTACCATGAGCAACGGTGTATCATGACACAAGAGGGAAAAACTAGTACAGAGAGACAAGTAAAGTGTCAATTTTAACCTTTAGGATCAGGATACATGCACTTCCTACTCTAGGTTACGATTATACATTTTTTTATGATTATATTTTGACAACAGCTTTTGTATGATTTCCGTTTGTATTACACAAGAAACAATATACAAAGTAAATACACTTGCGTAAACAACACTCTATTCAAGCAAGTCGAACATCAAGTAATAATTTAGCTATTTTCAAGTCTTTGATCATGTAAGATATAACTTTTATGTTCACGGTAAATGCAGAGAATATGATTGGTTACTTGTATGCAGACAGTCTTATTAAAGGAGTATTATTTTACAAAATTTTATGTGAGAAATTATCTGACACCTGTAAAATTCTTTTGCGACCTTGACCTACAATGTTAAACACCGGGTAAAAGACGTAAGTGGAAACGTTAAAAAAAATCGGAATCAACCAAGATTTATTTCCAATGGCCAAGGACGTATAACCAGGGCCGTAACTAGCATGACTAGTCTCTTTGAAAAATGAGGCAATAAATATTCGCCGAGCGGAGCGAGGCGATAAAAATTATCGCGGCGAGGGGCCTGGCGGCTGCTCAAAATCCACAAAAGCTCTGGAAAAAATAACCAAACTTCGAGCATTCTGAGCGTTTCACAGACCCTCTTCTTCTTCTTCCTTGTACGGGAAAGACTCCGGTGCCGGAGTGTGGAATATCCCGGAACTGTGGCGCTATGTACATGCAAATGGATGTCGAAAATTTTGTTATAATAAAATAAAAATATTTGCCACAGTTCAATTACAATTTAAAATAACATTAGTTGTAGCTTAATGTTAAACATATTCACATTATGTACAGTGGCTTAAATACACTAATTAATTAGCCATACTAAAACCTTCAAATGTTAAGGTGGAGATACCACCTTTGAAGGATTCTAGGGAGTGTGACATGCAAATTGTTTCTGGGAGATCATTCCAGACAGCAATAGTACTTGGAGAAAAAGATGATTTAAAAAAGTCTTTATTTGTATATATATGTCGAAATTTATGTAGGCCTCTAGTTCGCCTGTCAGATTGTGTCAGGACGTCATTAGTGACTTCAACCAACCCCCCATTAATCTTATAAATCAAGACAAGCTTAGCTTTTGTTCTACGGGATTGCAAGTTTTCCCATTTTAGTTTGTATAACATAACAGTGACAGCGCCTGGTGATCTATCGTTATAGTCATTAAAACTTGTGACATATCTTGCTGCCTTACGCTGTATCTGCTCAATTTGGTTTATTTGGCTTTGTTTGTACAGATCCCAAACTGGTGAGGAGTACTCGACGGTCGGACGCACAAGTGATGTGTACGTAAGAATTTTAACCTTACGTGTACAGTTTTTCATGTTTCTACGTAAAAAAACCTAGTGTTTTATTTGCCTTTGAAGTTATATTATTAATATGGGGCCCCCATTCAAGATCATTGCTTATTGTAACTCCTAGATACTTGCTGTCTTTGACAGATTCAAGTACATGGTTATG